CCCCGCTTCCACATACCTACTCATTCCCACTGAGTGGTTTTGTCTCTGCGCCAGGGCCAGGAGTTTGCTTGCAACAATGGACGCCGCCATGGAGTGCAACATCTGCACGCAACGGTACAACTTCGGGGATCGGATACCTAAAGTAATGCCATGCGGGCACACGGCTTGCTTGCAGTGTTTGTGGCAGGTGGATCACAAATGCCCGAGATGTCGCAAGGTGGTGTTCAACAACCATTCACTACCCCTCTTTCATTTGATTTCTAGCTAATTTCTATCTAGCTAGATACGTTGACACTGAACTAATTTAGTACTGTCTTTGGCTTTCCAGGGATTCCGTCCCGAAGCGGATGGACTCTCAAACAATTACGGTCTATTGGATGTCCTTGACGCCTACGCCAAAGACTCTCTGGCGCGCCACTTGAAGGACACCCTCCCCCAGGCTGCAGACCAACTCGAGGACCTGCGGGACCAGACCCAGGGAGAGCAGGCTTTGCAGGCGGTCACCCTCATGAGCACGGAGTCCTGGGACCTGACCCTTAGGGGCGAGGGCTGCGTCTTGACGGGGACCCTTCGGAACAATACCAAGGATCCACTCATGATGGCTTTGCACTTAATCTTAGCGACGAGGGTTCAATTGAAAGAAGTGCGTCAGAACTACTGGGAGACAGCTGGCGAAAGAAATGCTATTTTCAAGTTTCGCGTATAATAATAAAGCAATTTTTTTGAGCAGAACCCAAACATCGGCGGAAATGTTGGTGCAAACCGTCCACCACCGGTACAGGCAGCCCCACGCATCCAACGAATTCAACTTGTTGGACCACCTCCTGCGGGTCGTAATCGTGATCGACACCTGGAAGAGGAGGAAGCAGTGGTACATACAGCGACATACAGTCGGGAGAGCGAGACGCGACAGCGAGTGCGAGACGGACCGGTCTGGCCTGCCTGGATGCATAAGCTCCGTCACCAAGGGCGGTCCGGTCGGTCGTAGCCCGCTCTCGCGCCCTGCTCTCCTCTTATCGTAGCTGCGTCCAGACAGGCGCTTGGGTTGCTTTCGGAAGCCTCCCTCTCCGTTTTGGAGAGATGTATTCAACATCGTAGCTTGATGTTCGCGTTGTGGCTGTTGCAGGTGAGACGGCTGCAAGTGCGGTGCAACACGGACCACACGGCGAGCCTCACCCTGCTGCAGGCCGCCGCACCGGCCGTGGAGGAGCTGATGGTGTGCAACCCCCGCTCGGCCCACCTGCTCGCGGTGTGCGCCATGCCGCGGCTCAAGAGGCTGGAGTTGCGGAGTATCGACGGGGCCCTGGACACGCTGCCGCCCTTGCTGCCCGTCGATGTCCCAGCGGAATACTGCGGCTTGCAGTGGCTCAGGGTTTCGGGCCTTCCCCGCATCACTCTGCAGTCCCTGCTGCAGGCCCACGGGCGCACGCTGGAGGTGCTGCGGCTGCGGGTAGGCACGCAGGGTGACGAGGGGTGGCCAATCAACTGCAACGACCTGCACGACCTGCTGCAACAGTGCGACCTGCGTGTGATGAGGAGACTCGTGCTGGTGAGAGGTTTGCCGTACTGCCACTGGCGAGGCGACTGCTTCGAGCAGCGCGGTCTGGTACGGCGAGCACTGCAGGGAAACCCGGAGGTGATGTGCAGCGAATGTGACGGCCTGGAGGCTGAAGACAGCTTCTAGAAACCCTCCGCTCGGACCAATGGCAACGGCAACGGCAACCAGCAACAAATGCAGAGGTGGTGGCGTCTGACTTCTTCTTACGTTACTATACCTACTGTACATCGGAACAGATTTGCTACAATAATCTTTTTATGTCTCTGTAAAAATTGAAACCAAACATATTGTGCATTAAATTTATATTTTCTTCTAAGTTGATGTTGTAAATATTTTGCAAATGGCCCTTAAATCATTTTTCGTATAGCAGACTAGAGATTTTACAAAATACCGCTTGGAAGGACAACCTCAGAAAGTGTGAACTGATTGCATGGTGCTTTCCATGCAATCTCCATTCTTTTCTCTCCTTTTCTGATTTTATATGCACTTCAAAACAATGTTTTCCATTACATTCCATTCATAACAGAAGTAGTTTAGCACCCAGCTGAAGAGCCAAAATCTAATTTTCTTTTTCCTCCATGCTGGCTATCTTATCTATCATCCCCTATCTCCAGGTTTTCAGGTGTACTCCTCTGAATAATTTCATTTTAAACTAAAAATTAGGTTCAGAGAAAGAAGAAAACAGCAGATATTTTGCTTAGTATAGGTAAATTATTTAATTATCTTTGGCTGATTTAAATTAATTCATAGATGTGAAAAGTAATATGAAAAATGTGATATTAATTCAATGAGTATTGGATTGGTCACCTTTAGCTTTTTGTTTGCTATCAGTGTTTTGGTGAGGTAGCATTTCTACGAGTAGATTTAGGAGAAGGTCTGGTGGATGACTAGCTGAGATCAGTAGCCAACCAATCACTACACACGCACATCGCAAGGAGTTAAGGACATGCCATGATTCAAGCAAGTCCATATCTGCCTGATAAAAAAGAAAAAGCAATTATTAAAATGCAGTCAATTTAGTGAGAGTCTTGAAAGTTAATATAAGAGCAAACCAAAAATGATATTTACAAATTATATGTATTGTTAAAATTTTACTTGTAAGAATATTTACCTTCATGAAAGTAATATTAGAACTATTGTACTGAGACAGGTGTATGAAATCATCCCCCTTTGCAGCAGCAAGTGCAAGTACAAGTCCACCAACATATATTGGAATCAAGAACCAAGGTATTCGGGGTCGAATGGATAAAAGATCCACAAGATAGGGCCAATCACCACGTGCAAGGTCTAATCTAAAATAAAAATAAAACTGTCAGTTTTTTAAAAAAATAATGGCAAAGCACATATTGACCTTTAAATTGAGAGCATACCTGTCGAATATGGAAACAAGGCACACACTTGCTAATAAGAAAAATGTGGTGGTGAAAATAAGAGAAAAGTTGGAATAAAAAGAAACAAAATGTACCACTTCTTCTTGAGAAGATCCAAGTAGTCTATCAACCTGAAAAAAATAATTAATCTAATTACCCTTTCATTAAAATAAAAGCAAAATGGGAATATTTTCCCTTTGATCATAAAATATTACAAACCACTATAGTCTGCATTAGAGCAAGTCCTGCCAGAAGTCCATGACAAAAGTCTGCAAGAGGAAGCCACAACTTTTGCACAGCAATGGCAACATCAAGCGCTGTTGCTGTGCTGAGATCAAACCACCTAAATTGGTTCACAAAAATGTATTCTTAGTTACAACTCTTCTTATTGTGTGATGTAAGAATTACAACTTATTACCTATTATTTAAAGCACCTCCAGGATCTGCTAGAGCATTTTGGCGTGGGACAGAAGAAAAACCATCATAATGCTCAACATACACACAATCTCTTCCTTTTTGTATTCGGCACTGTTCAGTGTCGCCATCACCTGTATTTTTTTGAAATATCATTTACTCAAGTATTTCATATAAACCTTTACTCTGCAAAGACTTTTAGTATTACCATAATATGCATATTGTGGTGCATATGTATTGGAGTGTGGGGTATCTAAAATATCATCTGGTACTTCTCGAAGAACTCTGGTCACAGGAGTTTCAAGAAAGTCATCCGAGATCGCATCTCTGTGCCTACTCCTCTTTTTATGGTAACGAATGTGCTCACTTTTTCCTACTGCTGGTACCCCATGGGTTGATTTCTGTGTTGACATAGTGATATTACCAATTGTAAACCAGACCTGGTTATAAAATAATTTGGATCTAATGAAAATAAATGCTCTCACTGTTTCATCAGTATCCACCAAATGTTGTTTCCCTCTGCTTCGACTGGGAGTGGTGTGCTTTCTTCTCTCTTCCGCTGCACTTCTCTCCTGGCTCCTCTTAGACCTGCTCCTGAGAAGTATGCCAAGAAATAATTGAGGTGGGGTAAGATGGGCATATGAATTTAAAGTCTTGGGGGAAGCCCACCACTGCCCTTACCTCCTGGAGCTGGTTCTCTCCGTCGCTTGCACCCGATGACCCGTTGTCCCTTCATGTTTGGGGGATGGACTTTCCCTCCGGCTGCGACGGCTTGAGTGCGGTCTGTCAGATGCTGAATCTTCCACGTCCATCTGTACTGTTACACCATTTTGGTACACGGAAATCGGTAGTGAATTTGATTGATTATGAAGAAAGTTTGTGATTCAAATGGCAGGATTTCTAACAACAACTTTAATTTCTTTTTACGAAATCAAATTGATGTGTCGTGCGACTGGACAAGAGGGTCAGGTCGAATACGGTAGCTTAAACCTTACGATTTTGTGGCTCAGCGACACAAGTTCCTTGGCTGTCAGCGATCACAATGACTTTCAGACATTACGCTAACACTATTCGAAGCATCGACAGAGAATACAGTTCGAATTGGAGCAGTTTTCTGGGGGAAATAGACTTGATCACCATAATCAGATATTCAACAACAAACAAATCTAAACAAACCAGGGCTGCCAACCCTGCAGGTAAGTTGGCAATCGTAACTGCCCGTCGCCTCCGCCCTGTAGAAAATCCGTCAACAGCAACTGTTTTGATTTGAATTTGATTTGCCGGTTGCGGTGTGGCGCGAGCTGGGTGATAGTTTTGCTGAATCGTTTTCTCGCTATTTTGGGACTTTCTTTGTACGACCCTTCTTTCTTCAACATTTTGCGTTAAACACTATTTTATCTTCAAAATGACTGATACTCAACTGAAGGCCAAGAACAGTATAACCTTGAAAGGTTCGGCCGAAATTGTGATGGAGTATTTAAGTAAGTTAATTTTAGTACATTATTACTGATAATAATTATAACAACTTTATACTGATGTTTAATGTCACTGTCCATAGAGTTTGCTTATCACTATCACTACTATTCTTATGTTATCATTCATGTAAACAGTTCTAACGTATATTCTCTTTTATGGTGCATTATAGCAAAGCCTTTGTTCCTTGGTTCCTCTACTTTCCATTAAACTTGTTTTAACCATCTTTTGTTTTGTTGCAGACTTTGGAATCAACAGTATTCTATTTCAAAGGGGAGTCTATCCTCCTGAAACATTCAAAACTGTTGAAAACTTTGGCCTGTCTATATTTGTGTCAACTGATGAAAAGATCATATCCTTTGTGGATACAGTTCTTAAGCAAATGAAAGGTACTTCAACCTACCATTTATGATAGTTTTTGAAAGTTTTGTTAATGTTTCATTTAATCTCCTGCTTTAAATTGATTTGCAGACTGGTTATTGGAAGAGAAAGTACAGAAAATCTCAATGATCATCACAAACATCACCACCAAAGAAGCTTTAGAACGTTGGGATTTTAACGTCAAGTATGAAGCTGGGTCTGGTGGAAGCACTGATATTCAGGAACTGAAGGACACTAAAGTTGCTAGAAATGGCAAAGTCAACGACGCTTCGAAGGTTGGCAACAAGGAGTTGAAAGTTATCCAAAATGAAATTCGAGACGTGCTCCGTCAGATTTGTTCTACAGTCAGCTTCTTGCCACTCTTGGACTGTCTTTGTATGTTGAATGTCTTCAGTTTTGTTACCATATCATATTTTCAATTTCACCAAAGTTATACTCTGCCTACAGGTGCATTTGATGTACACATCTATACCAATCAAGATTGTGAGGTGCCTGAGGAGTGGAATGAGACTGCGCCATGTGTCATAGCGAATTCACAAGAACTTCAACTGCGAACTTTCTCCACTTCACTCCATCACATGGCCACTGTGGTGAGCTACAAAGCTGAGTAGTCAGAGCCGATTTCAACCAATTTTGTGATACTTTCATTTTTTATTTGTACATATATGGCAAGTTCTTCCTACTCAGTTTTAGTGTAACAATATTATTCATGGTTCAATGAGATCCGATTGATCTTGAGTATGTTTGTTTCATAGCAGAAATTAATTTTCCCTCTACAATCTTTCTTGAATTAATTAATCGTGATCATATCTTGTGAGTCTTTCCTACTCATGTAGTTATTTAAGACTGCTGGTCGGTAAACTAGGTAATTTTCCAGTTTTAAAATTTTAAAGTATTTCATGACATGCTTACTTCAAACACAATACATGGAATCTGCCAAGTATTTTCTTGAAAGAACATATCTGTATGCAAGATGCATTTTAGTGTTACTTGTAATGATAATGATTTTTCTTGTATGTGTTACTTGATTTTGATGACACTCACATATGAAGCCTACCATTTTCCATTCTTTTCAATAATAATATCTAATGTATTCTATGTTTTCTTTTTGTCATGAAATACAATTAACTCAATGTTCCACACTATTGTTTTTGTTTTTATGTAGAATTTCATTTGGGTGCATTTGGAGGTGGTTTGAAACCAAAGAAATGAAGGCATTTTGATTTTATTGATTTAGGGGTTTTAGGTTTTTGACACTGAACTTTACATAAAGCTTAAGTATTGATGAAAGAAAAAAACTCCTTTCCAGTTGGGGTCAATAATGTACAACTTAAACTGTTTCTTAGACTAGAGATTCTTCTAACTGTACTACTCACTCAGACTGAGATCAAGGGTCTCATTGGTGTAAGCATTTAGGTCTTCGTTTTTTGTTTTAATTGAAATATTTGAAGGATTGCTGGCATTGTCTTCTGCCCAGGACTGCCTTTCTCCTGATGCAAATGTTCCATATATTATAGCTCCAACTAAGTAAATAGTGCTGCTTATTATAAATACTATTCTCCATTGGGATGGTGTCTGCAAAGGTAGAAAATGAAATGCCTGTACTCTAATACTGGAAGGTTATATTCTTTCCCATACAGTTTGATTTTTCATGTTCACTGTGATAAGAGTTACGTACCTTGTCTTGAACTATATAACCTGTTATATGCGGGCTTATCATTCCTGGCAAAGTTGCGACAGTGTTTGAAATGCCCATCAGGATACTAGCATATTGTGGAGCAATGTCGAGGTGATTTACACTGGAGTTGAGGAAACAAATTATTTAATTGATCAAATGAGGAGTCAATTCAATACATCTCCTCTGACGGCCATTGATTTACATACCTGAATGCTGACCATGCAAAGCCACCGAGTCCTACTGCAATGGTTATGCACAGCACTATAGCCCAAGGAGACATTGTGTAGGCTGCTATCATCATAAATATTGTCTGGCTAATAAATGCACCACAGTTAAATAGCTTTCGCACCTGAAATGAGTCAACATTAATGATAATTAAACACTTTCTCTTTTAATTGTTTAGTATCCAAGTCTATTTTAAGTGTAGAAGTATTCCTGTTTTCTACTTTTGCACAGGGAAATTATGCCACTTGCCGCTGTAGTTGACATTTTTCCAGCACGCAGCCAGTCTGCAAAGTGGCCGGCTGCCTGTAGTATAACAGACATACAGATGTAGGGAAGAGCAGAGAGTAGCCCAGATTGTTCAATTTCCACTTGCAACACATCTGCAGGTTGGAGAAATTGTGTCATGAAAATCTGTTTAGCTTTTTACAAATAACATCCTTTCACCTGTGTGTATTGGATATGACCACACAGTCCATACAGACCTTTCATGAAGGTAGGCAGCTGTGTTAACAGTGTATAGAAGCCCCAGTTCTCACTGAAATGTGCTGCCACAATTGCCCACACTGGCATGGATGTCAGAAATTTGCCCCAGGGCTGTTGTGTCAGCTGCCAAAAGTTATAGAAAAATTGTGTGACTGGGAGAAACTTTTCATTGTATCAAGTATTACCATTTTAATTTTTTTAATGTGTTCTATTGGTTTTAACAGCTGTTGCAGAAGTTTCCACAGCATCAGACTGTTTTAGGCGACTTAGGCTGCATCTTTTAGAATTGTATAGAACCCTTTTAATATGTACCTTTGGGTCTGGAACTGTTGCAAGAGTACTCTGGATGTAGAGTAGCTCTTCACGAGATATTCTTGGGTCATCCTCAGGGTTCTCTTTCACCAGGTACAGCCAAAACCCGTACCATACCAAGGCAGCCACACCTAAGCAAGTAACATTATTATTTAATGATTATTATTTAATTTTTTTGTTGAAGTACAACAGACGAATAATTTTTGTATCTATGTGTTACGGTCAGAGCTAGGTCGACAGCTAAACTTAGTACTGACCAGTCCAATTTCATTATCCTGTCACTGCTGGCTGTTCCAAGGTTAAACCTGGAAATACAATAGAATTACAGGATTGAGTGGTGCTATTTTTCTTTTTTACTTTTCTGTTCAAGAGCTACACGTTTTGTTCCCCCCGGCACCTGGCAGGACTTGTTAAAGTGGCACAGGGAAGCAGAAACCTATAAAAGATACACCGCACTGTTCACTCTCTCAATTCTGTTGAATTTTGACGTGTCTAAAGTGTCAGCTGAAATCAATTTGCTGAACCCGCTGGACTCAGGAACAGCCAGCAGTAAAAGTGTATACCTAGGATTACCAAGATTGCCCGGTCCCTAGGCTTACACGACCCCGTAGCTCCTAGCTCCAACCATAACACACACACACATGTTTCGGATGATCTTTGCTCGCCATGTGGGTATAAGTGCTTCTTACCGAAGATGTAGAAGATGGAAGGCCAGCCAAGCTGAGCAGCCAGGACACCGCTCAGAGGCAGTGACACCACGGTGCCGGCGTAGCTCCCCGAGAAGGCGATGGTGGCCAGGCGCGAGCGTTCGGCCGGCGGCGCCCAGCGCGCCCACACGGCGTGTATGCAGGGGTAAGTCACACCCTGCGGTTCGAGCAAACAGAGTTGTGGTTCGAGGTCGGGGAGCAGGCGCTGCACTGCCCGGAATCCCCCGTCCCCCAGTTCAAGCTCAAACCGAGCTTGACATTCCCTAGTTGGCGGCCCCTCCGAGTGGTGACCCCCGTGACCCAGGGCCGGCGGGGTCAGGCTGGACGGCGGCGTCCCCGCCCTGCCGTCATGCTGCCGCAGCCGGCCCGCGCTCCACTTTTCCCCGGAGTGACTTTTCCTTCCGAAACCGATCCGCGATAATTTATTATGGATCCATGGAGGCGGCCGAGTTGCGCCACGTCCATCTCGGTTCCGCTAAGCGACTTCCTGCCGGCCGATCCGACGGGTCGATAGCAGCCGATAGCCCGGGCTGGGCCGCCGGCATCAGGTGCGGTGCGTGCACGTGCGCCTCGCCGCCGTGCGTCCGGTGCAACCTGGAGGAGAGGGTCCGGGACTGTGCTGCGCGCGACCCGAGCGAGCGATCATCCCGAAAGTAGGTACGCTTATTCCCAGATTCATTGTATTAATTTAGTTTTTAATAAATTTTGTGGGAGCTTGGCGCCTGCGAGGCTCGGGGTAGGCCATCCCGCGGTACACGTATGCGCCGCAGGCAAGATGTTGCCTACCTACCAGGCGCTATGAGAGCATTGCCAGGTCGAACTTCTTTTTCGAAACGGCGAATGACGGACGCGTACTTTTTAGATGAGCCCTGAGGGGGCTGTGTAGCTTTATTGTGTGGCCGCGGGCTTCCGGTGCGACGAGCCGTCCCAGATGTCGGGCTATGGAGCAGCGCTGCTCGGGCTGCCCGCCACGACGGCGGCGATGACCGGCCGCTGCCGAAGCAATGAACACAGCTGAAAGTGTAATTGCCGTGTCGCAGCCGGGCAAAGGCGCAAAGCACGCCTCTTACCGGGCAGACCTAATCACGTCATTCCGACTCGGAAACGGAACTCGGTTGGCGCGCGTGCTCCGTCGCCAGCTCCGCGAGCTCGACGGTCACGGTGTCGCTGACGGGCCTGGCGGCCGTCTCGCCGCGCGACTCGCGGGTAGGCACCGCGCCTGAGCCCGCTGGGATGCCCGCCGGGATGCCCGCCGGGGTGCCGGTCGAGGTGCCCGTCGAGGTGCCCGTCGGGGTGCCCGTCGGGGTGCCCGTCGGGGCGAGCCACCTGCCCGCTCGTGCGTCTTACCTCAAACAGCCCCTCCACGATCCTGACGGCGATTATCCAGGCTGTCCCCGCCCTGGCGATGGGTGGCGTGAGCACGGTGAGCAGCGCCGTGGCCGCGAGCCCCACGCCGTACACCCGGCTCCCGCCCACCCGAGCGGCCAGCCAGCCGCCGGGCACCTGCACGGAGACGGGGGCCGACTTTAGCTGCACTGTTGTGGTGGGGTGGGGTTGGTCGGTGGGTCCCGAGTGGGGTCTCCTTTGACTTGCAAGCTTACCTGGGTGACGATGTAGCCGTAAAAGAACGAGCTAAGAATCAGTCCACGCGTTTTCGAGTCCCAATCGAACTCTGCCGGAACCTGGTATTGGGGAGAAAAAAAACAACAGTAAGTTTGGATCTAGTCGAATGGCGATGCGTATGGGGATGGCGTGCTCGAGCGTGCTGACCTCAACGGTGGTGCCGTTCGCCAGGGTGGTGGTAGTGGCCGTGGTCATCGCCACGATGGCGACGCTGAGGTTGACGCGCAGCGCGTACACGTTGAAGAAGCCAAGGAAGGCCATGGCCGCCACCATGTACCTCCGCCGGCGCCAGAATCTCCATCCGGGTGAAATGTCAACGCTGTGTGGGAAATGGCGTCTTTTTAAACAGTACACATTATACTTTGTTGACTTCAGGTGCCCATTGTACAAAAGAAAACGAAAATGAAATGACTGAGGGCCAAAAGTATTCACTCACATTGGTGTTGACGGGGTTGAGCCGTAAGCGGTGGCGCCTGC